ACTGATGGACTATCAGAGGTAGATGTTAACATGATAGTTCTGTGGATTTTATGGTTGACAAAGGTATTCTATTAAACATGACAACTCAAAAAAAATTTATTACTCATAATCCAATGAACTATAAATAAACCAACCCCCATTCTTGAACAAGTGCAGGGGGGAAAAGGAGTAGACATGGCACATCACCTAGTGGGCCATTATCTAACGAGTTTGACTATCAGAGGTAATAGTTAATATGATAGTTGTGCTAGAAGGTTGGTCTACAACCTTCATTTGTGCTAGAAGGTTGGTCTGCAAGTTGTGTCGACATGTCTCCACTAAGATAGACTGTGTCATACTTGACGAACATCGCAAAGCCATGTTTCGAAACCTTTTGACGAAGGCTTTGACAGACTGCCTCTTCTTCTGCTTAGTGGCGAGAATAGTATAGATGGAGACTTCTGTATCCTCTTCAAAGAATCTTGACAGGAAGAGTCTCTCTAGATCTGTCCACTTTTGGATACATCCCGTAGGTAGTTTCCTGAACCATTCAAAGGCAACTCCCTTGAGGATGCCAATAAACAATCGAGTCAGTATGGCGTCGTTTGAGATCATATTCCCAGTCTGTGACTTGAAATGATAGATATATTGGTTCGGTGATCCTGTGCCGTCAAAAGTTTGTAGCGTCGGGACCTCGAATTTTGGAGGATAAGGGGATGCATCTCATTCGGTAGGATAAGGCCGCACTACTCCCTCATCTTGGAGCTCGCTTCTGTTAGCAATGGCATTGAGATGGGATTCTAATTCTTCCATTTTAGCAGATTGGAGATTTTGTTCTTTCTCAGTCTCTCTTCCTTCATCAGAGGAAGATTCCATGTTATGGGCTTCTTGATCAGAAGCAGCACCATCAACCACTTTTTCCTTCTCTTTGCTTGTGCGAGGTCGCGATGAAGATGCTTTTCCTCCCCGAGAAGAATCTTACCCGGGTGGCGAATCTGTCTTCTGTGATTTAGCCTTGTCTGTGACGATTTGAGTCAACAGGGTCAGGAGTTTATTGAGGGTCTTCTACTGTTCTCGGAGCATAGAGTCCTGCTCAGCAACCCTCTTTGCGAGATCCTTAGAATTTTCTGTCATGTGGACGAAGCTATCATGTTCAACAAAAGAACTTGATGATTGAGACTCTGTAATGGCTGAGTATTCGTCATCAGAATTAGTTCCTCTGGCTAAACTCCGATAGTTGACAGGGGGAATGGCTCCTGTTCGTGTCCGAGTGCATTGGTAGATTCCTTCAAACTCGTTAGCGATTTCTCTGACAGTTGGTGAACGACTTATCTCAGAGTCATCAGAACTAAAACCTGAGGCTTTCCCTCTACCGATCACATTGATAGTGACTCCTGGATACTCGGTTTCTAAAGACTTCTTCATGTACGAACGTCGTCGTTGGTTGGGAAAAGCAACGATCGTTAATTGGTCGAACACCAATGGTTTGGCCGCTTATAAACAACATTGACATTTTGAGAGGACCGTAGGAACCGGTCATTCACATTAGAATGAATGAATGACTTGTTGCATCGGTCTTTCTCTCGAAATGAACTCTTTCAAATATGTTGTAAAGATTCGAGGAGAGTTACTCACTAATCGTGAGGTTTGAATTAGAACCCTCAGTCCATGATTGGACAGGACTGGCTCTTGGTGAACATGGATCTGGTTGAGATGCCTTGAATCTATGGATTTCGTCACCCGAACGCATGCCTGAGCTCCAGGTTTTTCTGGTGAAACGCACCCCTGAGGGCTGCGTTTAGCTTGGCTTATGTAGAGCTCGTGTTGAGGCTCACAAACACGGAGCTCGCGTTGATTGGAGGATCGGCTTTTTTGGACTTGTGCCGAAGCTAAGTCTTCTCCTTCAGAGCGGGGACTGTATGAACAGTGCAACCCCCAAGGGAGACAGTCCTTTGATGAGTCGGCCATAACTGGAGCTTTAGTCTCCTTAGAAACTTTGTGGATCTTACGCATAGCCTTGGGGCTAAGGGACCCAGAGGAGAGGGCCTCCTCAAACTTGGCTTGATCGAACTCGATGATCAGAGTTTCAACAGTCGTTCCAATGAGCATGACGTCAGATTACACCACCACCTCTTTGTCAAAGAAGCTAGTCCCCAACAGAGTCGTCATCTTTTGTTTGTAGAAAATTTGAGGTAAAAAGAATAAAAGAAAATTTTTGTTTAGATTCTCTCGATCTTAGTTACAATTTGAATTCCCGATTACAAAAGAGAGGAGAATTGATTTGAATTCTCCCCTTTGTTTAATTCTGGGTTCTTCACGGTGGCGATGAAGTGCCTCCCTCGAATGCTCGCGTCGAGTTTGCTCTCCGTTGACGATTCACACGTCTTGATTCGTTGGAACGGTATCTCCTCCTCACGATTTGACGTTGTGGAGAACTTGTGTGGCAAGTTTGAAATTCTTGATGAGTTGATAACTCTGAATGAGTTTGAAACTCTATGAAAGAGTTGATTTAACCGAAATCGGTTTGTAAGCCCAGAACGAACTCCTCGTTGCTGAAGTTGGAGATGATCTCCGTTGGAGAATGATGCCGATCCCTTCAGGCCCTTTCTGCTCTAAGAAATTCCCCCTTTGCTGCCAAGTCCCAGATCCAAAAAGCCAACCAGAACTCAGTTGAGTTTACCCCTATTTATAGGGGATTAAAGGGTGTAACCGTCCCCTTAATTCACTCCTAAGTGGGGCTGAATGGGGTGTAACCGCCCCCTTAAACAGCTCCCCAAATCGTGGGAAAAATGATTTTGAAACCGTTCAATTCATGTTTTGAACGAGTCAAACGCAAAGAGCCCGAACTCTGCGTTTTAGACTTGAAACGCAGAGTTGGGCCTATTTTGGTGGCTGAACGCACAGGTCGCGCTGCGAAGAAATGAACTCTGCGTTTTGGGCCTGGGACGCAGAGTTGAGCTCTGCATGAACTCTGCGTTTTGAGTCTGGGACGCAGAGTTGAGCTCTTTGCGAACTCTGCGTTTTGAGTCCACAAACTCTGCGTTTTGAGGTGGTAATGCAGGGAGGACCTCTGCATTTTGCTTCTGGGAGTTTGGAACATGGCCACGAGCTATGCGTTTTGAATCTGGGACGTAGAGGTGAGCTATGCGTTTGGATTTGAAGAGACTGTCAATTTGTAGTCTTTTTTGCTAAAACGTTGCAAAGACCGTCACCTTGTAATCTTTATATTGGCTCCTTAAAAATATGAGAGTCATCAGATTATAGCTCCCGATGTTGATTGTGAAGGCTGTTGATTAGATATTTTATCAGTTGTTGTGAAGGTCGTCAGATTGTAACCTTCATCGATCTACGTGAAAGTCTTCAAATTGTAGCCTTCTGGAAGCCGTCGAATTGTAACTTACATCATCGGTGTTTGATGATGATCAGCTATCTGTTGTGATTTTTAGACAGCCTACAGCGGCCCTGGCCCTTTGTGTTAGACCATTAAACAACCGAAAGGACTGACACATCTGAACCGAATAACTCGGTTCTGTTCGGTCGGCTCCATTTAGCATGAGGTTCGGTTTGGTTTCTATTCGATCTAAATTGATGAACACCGACCGAACCGACAGTTTGCTCACAAGTATTTGGTAGTTTTTTAACATGTTAATAACAAAAGATCACGATCCACTAATGGAATCCTCTCTTCTTTATTTCCCCTTATCTGGGGTCTTTAATGCCACCGAAAATGATTAGACAAGACCGAAAAGTGTGATTTGTCATGAAGACTGCAAATGTGATATGGTATTGATTAGTTTTTCTATTATTATAGGAGAAATTCATTGAGAGCAATCTGCGAAAAAATGCTAGCAATTGCATACGTTAGGGTCCGTTTAGCTTGACGGAACATACGTTAGGGTCCGTTTAGCTTGACCGGAAGTACTGGAAGTAAAAAATAAGTAAAAAAATATTAAATTTATGAAATAAAAAGTAATGAAAGTAAATTTTTTTTTTGTTTCACGTATTTTTTGAGTGTAAACAAGAGGAAATTATTGGACGTGGATTCTCGTAGAGATGTAGGCTGACAGCTTAGAGCGTAAATTGGAAACAGAACTAAAGGGGGTAAGCATGAGGCCAAGCCCACAAAGAAATTGCGCCAGTAGGAAATAGTAAAGATTAGAGTGGCGAATAACTAATGAAAAATATAGCGTAGGTATAGCCAAACTAAAGCCATGTTTAGCTAGAAGAAATAAGTTCTAGGAGTATGCACTTTTAGGAGAGGAATCGTGTGTCCCATCAAGAGTTGGGCTGCTTCCATCTAAAAGGTGGAATTATGACCCAAGGACCTGTGCAAATAATTTCATAAAATACCACCCGCCATCCCTAAACTCCTATACATTAACTATTTCTGTTCTTTGTAAATATAAGGATATTCAATATCCACCCAATTGGCCGATACCTTACCAATATGAGCAGAACAGCTCAATCTTGACTAATAACACCTAAGGTTTGAAATAGCAAGAGGTGATTTTGATAATGTTATGTTGGGGGGGAAATTTTAGACATAAACTAATTAATTGAAAGGTTTTGAGACTAAATTCTGACTAACTGCCATTGGAGATGGATGTAACTCTCATGTCGCTATCAGTAAAGACAAACCAAAACCGTGATGATATCGGGATTTTAGGTATCGATCCAAACTCATCAAATACACCAAATATGCAGGCCGTAAATATATTTTAAAAGCATCAACTATTACATAACGTAATGCTTTGGTCAAAATTAAGTCAAAGTATATATAACCTTTCTATTCTTTTAACATTTTGCCTAAGAAAATACCAGAGTTAAGGTTCAATTTTTTTAATACCTAAATCCCATTCATTACTATCCAACCGGTATCCAGCTATCATGTCGATTTAATTGAACCAGTAGTCTCTTGTATCCATATGGATTTGATTACATCTGAATATATGTTACTTACCTAATCCATAACCATTACAGAAATACAGATATGATATATTGCTCCCTATTTAGCCTTCCCCTTGAGCATAATTAGAATCAATATTTAAAAAAATAATAATAATTTCGCTATTCAAGTTATCATTGGATAACACTTACACCCACATATTCAAACACTTCAATAACAAGTAAATAATGTCAAAATAATGGCTTGCAAATAATTTTGTATGGAGAAATGGTTTGCTTCCCCGCATGTCACCATGGATTCATAAGAGAGCTGCATATAGTATTTGGTTCCATGTATCCGGAACACCAGCGAGGCACCAGTGGCTGCAGTCCACACCAGGGTGGTCCCCACTGTACGTTGAGGGATGACCGTCTTTTCTGAGCTGGGAAAGAAGGGTTATGTCGAGAAGATACGCTGGTCTCGACATTGTACCGATAACGTTGCTAACGACTGCCTGCTCTGGAGGTGAACCAGCTGGATATGTTGATCCGATCACCGGTTGAGTTTGTTTGTTGCAGTTCCCTGCCTTTGGTTCTCCCCAGTCCTTTGCTCTGTTTTTCAAGAATAATTGGGACGAACGTGAATAACTGTTACTGGTTAATTTGAGCAAGAACTAAACTTGGATGCAAGTGTTGTGTATATGCTCTTCATTGGTGCTGATGGTGGATGGTGGTATTCTTTTTTTTTGCAGGTATTACGCATATCGACCAATCTACAGTGTGTTAAAGATTTAAGTGGATAAACCTCAACGTTTGGCGGTTTAGCACACTGGGACCTTGATGTTTTCGGTGGTTTTAGAATATTTCTGATATTTTATGTTCTTGACTGTTCTGTCAAAGTATTATGTATGGTACTAAATTCAGACTAGTGATGAATAGATCAGGACATTATTATATGTTCTGTTGGCACATAAGACATGCGCAGTAGAACGTCATTTTGACGAAATATGAATATTCTATACTGACAGATGACTGTGCGTTAGTTGTTAAATCCGATGGTTTTTGTCGATCGATCGAGAGAATTTCCTAACGTTTCTCACGGAGGAAGCTAGCAGTTTGTCTTGATTTATATCACTGATTCCCCTATGCTGCATGGCTATATTGTATTTAAATGTCATGCAGGGGCTGCAATTGTTTCTGACCGTAGAGTGCTGAATTTATACAAATAAAATAGATGAGTGAAGTGGACTTACAGATAATGAGTAGGTGAGATCCCCTGAAAGAAAACCTTGGTGGTGCTTGGGTCAACGTTGGCTTCCACCCACTTAGCCCATGTTGTTAGCCCTTTAGAGAAAGCCACTAACCGATCCATGTCTTTGTACACTTGTCCTTCTGACTCAACGAAATCCCATCTACACAATTACAAAAGCAGTGTAATTCCTCTATTTACTACTTTGCAACCGAAAAGTTAGGAATCTTAGCACACGTGAACCTCTTTCTCATACATTTAATGTGTCAAATGCTAATAAAATATATAGTTGAAATGTGTCGTATATTTAAGGTGTCAAATGCTAATAGAATAGTTAAAATGTCACTTCAACTGAAAGTATGGATAATGAAGTCATCGATAAAAACTATAGCTGAGAGAAGAGAAACACACGGTTGGCCGTTTCCGGTGTGAGTCCACCAATGCCACGTATTGAATATAAGCATGTCAACCCCCAGCCAAGTGCTGCTGCCACTATCGATCGAATCCAGCTTTAAAACTCGACCAATCGGCTCGCCCACGATATCGACCAAGTACGTTGTTCTATAGTACATCACCGACAGCCCATATTCCTGCAGGCCCAACAACGCTTTTTAGCTTCCAAAATCTACACGTGAACTTGGTCAGTACATCTAAAATCAGCGAGGTTGGGAAAAAAAAAAAAAGCCAAGTTTTGATTATAGATTTGGATTTTAGTACTGCACTGTGCTTCGGCTCGCCCACGATATCGACCAAGTACGTTGTTCTATAGTACATCACCGACAGCCCATATTCCTGCAGGCCCAACAACGCTTTTTAGCTTCCAAAATCTACACGTGAACTTGGTCAGTACATCTAAAATCAGCGAGGTTGGGAAAAAAAAAAAAAGCCAAGTTTTGATTATAGATTTGGATTTTAGTACTGCACTGTGCTCTCCCGTGATAGATTCCTTTTGGTGGTGAAAGTGTACAGAAGAATGAGGATATTATTAAAATATCTACAATATATGGAGACCAAATCCCGTGATGGGATCGAAATGGTTTTGTTGTTTCTTTGAGCTTGAAGAGAAAAAACCGCCCGTGAGTTAGTCTAGAAAGCCGTTTTATTTTTTACTTCCATATATATATATATCTTTTTTGAGGGCCATTTATTAAATTTGTTTGTACGTTTGATGCTAGGATTTAGGATCGTGGAGACTCTGGAGTCACTTAGAGCATCTCCAAGGGATCTTTACAATGTCCCTTAATCTAGGGGGAGTTTTAAGGGAGGGGATGTTTTCCTCCAATGGTTCCTCCTTAAAAGTCATCTTACCCCTTAATTATTCATATTTAGTGTTTTAATTTTATAGATTAAGATTTAATTAAATATATGGTTTCCTTAATTATTCATATTTAGTGTTTTAATTTTATAGATTAAGATTTAATTAAATATATGGTTTATTTATCAATGAATAAATAACTAAATATTAATAACTAAAATTAAATAAATAATTAATTTAAAGTAAGAAATTATCTTATATAATTATTAAATTAATTAATCATATTAAAATTTAATAAATAATTAATTTATATAAATCATGTTAAAAGTATTAATTATACATTAACTATATATTAACTAAATTTAATTAACTATACATTAACTTCATTTAAAAAGAAAATATTAATATAAAATTATAAGGGGAAGGTTAAGGGACTTTAACCTTCCCCTTAATTTGGAGAGGGAGTTAAGGGGTTTGGGGTGAAGGGGAAAGTTTTACGGCCCCTTGGAGCACCTTCCCCTTTATTCTCCCTTAATCTAGCTAAGGGGCCGGATTTTTCCGGCCCCTTGGAGATGCTCTTATTACAGAGTCTTATGGGGACACAATTTAACTAATTATTTATCAAATGAAGTAATAGAAAACGAAATTGGGAAAGTAAACAAAATAAATATATGCTAGAATTAATGTAGAGTGATCCAATCATTTCATCCATGTCTACAGATATGAAACTAGGGAGAATCAGAAGTTGACATTGTTGACACGGCAAATCATGACCATCTAGAGATTAGTGGTAGTTAAGTTTGATATGAAGAAATGAAGCGAAAAATGAGGCGCGAAGAATTTGAAAAAAAAAAAAAAAACTGGCAAATGCGAACGAGATGGTGATTAAGGAGATTGTTAAACTAAAGATTTTTTATTAAGGATGTATCAGTGTTAATCATTAGTATGTGGGAGGCCGAGAGAAGGGCCAACCTAAAGGTAAACTAAAATAGGAAACATGCGCTGCTGTTCGCCATCATGTTCCCGTGTGCATAAATATGGAAGTGACCATCAAGATTCTCCTACTTCGAGTCCGTCTTTCCACAAAATTCTCGGTTGGTTTTAAAAATAAAAATAAAAATTAATTTGTTGAGCATGTTTCTCGGAGCTCTAATCCAAATGTTTTATGAGGCTAATTAAATCATAAACACAAGGAATTATGGCCCACTGATCAAAAGGATGTTTATACCATAATATTAGAGAATCAATCAATTTAATTTTATGCATAAGAAACTACTTAATCGTTATCTACGGATAGCGTATAAATAATTGCGATACATATCTCTAGTATAATAAATCTCTTTTATTTCCATAAATTGCGTTTAATATTCTTTTCTTTTTTTTTTACTTTAAATTTAACATAGTCATGCATTGCTACTAGACGTTTACGATTGAAATTAAACATGATTTCCTGATATTTTGTTTGAATATTTATATAAGTTGGCGATCTGATAGGAAGTCCCAATAGAACCAGAAAATAAAAGAGAAAATAAAGAGATAGTATAATAACTAATACGCTGTTAAATGCTAATTAATATAAAAGATACGATCGAAATTAAGAATATGTATTAATATATAAAAAAATATCTAAACGCCAAAATAGGAAGCCAACAGAGAGCCTATATATGGTGTCAACCGTTAAACGTTATAACCGAAGGCACATAAAGGTACATAAAATGAGAAATATATTCACCTCAAATCTAACAGTGGCCAGTGAGCCAGTCCGTGAAGTCGAGGTCTTTGAGTTGGGCACAGCCGCATGAAGCATGCAGTTGAGGGACTGCCACTGGTTCAAACTCAACGAGTCTCCCACAAACATTATCTTCTTCCCTCTCCATCTCATCAAAAAATCCTGACCATTGAATCTGTACTTGAGATAAGACAAATAAACCAAAATCAGCTTCCAACACTGAAATAAGATCATAAAGAAAGAAAAAGTTATAACAAAATTAGCAATACTAATTAACCTTGGGAGTTCACAAGCATTTGGCTTCCATCTATATTTGAGATAGAGCTCATCGGGTCTGCCGTATTTCTTGCAATCAAATTCGGGATCGATGAACGGACAGGTGGACGAATTGTAGAGCGGGTACGAGTCATCGTAGACCCAACTGCCATGAAACATATCGCAGTTGAGTCCATTTGCTGGGGTTCTTCTCCTCCCTGGTGCTTTCTTATGACCTTGGACGTAAGCATCAGAAGAAATTATGGTGAAGGCGAAGAATGTGAATACAAGAACGAAATATGAATAGATTTTTTTGGAGTCCATAGCTATACAGGCTTAGAGAGAATGAGAAGCGAAGGGATTAAAGGGGGGGCTATTATAAGGTTTGGATTGGCGCGGGAGAAAATTGACACTCTTATCTTAAAAAGAAAAAAAAGAAAAAGGTCAGGGGACTGTAAAAGTAAAATAAAAATGGGATAAGGAAGGAGAAAGGGAAAGAAAAAATGCGGTGGCCAAGGCCGAGGGGTGTCTGGTCCTCGCTCTTTGTATGCACTGCAAATTTATATATATTTGATGAGCCTTAAAGTGTTTGCCTTTTTTAATTATTTGTTCCTTTTTTTGCGGCTGGTGATCGATAGATCTGCCGCAAATCTCCTTTCCAAAGTTATCGTGGATGTATATGAATCTGGTGAATATGTGAATGGGTAGGTTCAAATCTTAATTACTGGCTTAAATTGGTGCAAATTAATGTTTCCATTCTGAGTAAATTACGTTTTCCCCCCCCTGGTAAGATGGGTATCCAGGGAGAATTGCAAATGTTTCCATTCTGGATAATTTACGTTTTTTTTTCTTCTTCTTTTTCTGGTAGATAGATATCCAGGGAGAAAAGAGTATACTCCAGGAGAGTCCCCACAAGAGAGAGAGAGAGAGAGAGAGGGAGAGAGAGGTAGAGAGAGGGAGAGCAAATGATTGGATTTGGAGGAGATTCTGATCATGAATTTTAATTCTATCTGATCTTGGGGGATTAGTCACCTGGAACTAAAATTAGAACTGGAATAATTTGTGAGATAAATTTTTAAGGTGTTAGTCACATAGAACTAAAACTAGAACAAAATTTTACAGTGTTAGTTAAGTAGAACTCTAATAAAACTAGAATTGGGATAATGATACAAAATTATCCCTTTTTTTATTTTTCTATACAAAAATAAGAGTTTTAGTCTCTCAAATTATTCTAAATTTTAGCTTGGAACTAGGTGGTAAAAAAAACTAGAACTCATATTTATTTTGTTATTTTTTATTTTTTATTCTAGACCTGTTATTATAATAATAAGAGAAAAAATTACACACGTGATGATGACACGCGGGCAACAAGCTGCGCCGCTAATCCTTTCTGAATTGCAAAACCTAACCTACAAAACACGTACTCAGCTGACCCTGCTGTCGCCATATTTCTATTCATGAATTTTTGTACCCTCCTGAGGAACTCCACCGCATCAGCTGCAAGGTAACCAAACGTATCGAACACGAACGGGATGAAACTGTGGTGGTTGTTCTTACTATTATTTTTTTATATTTCTTTTTTTCTTTACTTCTTTCCTATTATGGTTGTTACCATCATTAGACCATCATTATAATAATAATTATCAATATCTTATAGTCTAACCAAAAGTTATTTAATTAATAGTAAAGAACATTCTTGTAAGCAATTATCAATCAATAATAGTAAGTTTAAAATACATAAATAGCATTTATATATTCAAAATGCATAAATATATATTTTATGATTATAAAAATTTATCCCACGTTATTTTATCAAAATATCTCACTTCACAAAATTGTTCTTATTTATCTCACTAAAATATCCCACTAGCAAAAAATTATTCCACTTTAAAAATTATCCAATTTTGCATGAAAATGTCTCAATTGATTAACACCTTATTTGACGGAATTTTACTCCTTGTTACCTTTTTTGATAGGATTTGAGAATTGATTTGGAAATTTAATTTGATATTGTTAATTACTTCTGTCTTCCTAATAAATAATATTGCAAGTCTCATTAGAAAGTGGACTTGGAATGAATAAAAATATGAAAGATTATTTTAGCGTGTGACTTGTGGATTGAGATCCTCTACTAATGAAAAGCTCCTAATATCTCCTAATAAGGGATCCTAGCCTTTCATTTTTATTATGACATTTCATTTTCCCACCCATCCTTGTGGGCCCTACTCCCAACTCTTCACAATTCTCATTAGGAAATATTAGTATTAGTAGAGGATCCCAACTTGTGAATTGTAGCCTAGGACGTGAAGCCCATCTTTTAATCTCAACATTCTATTTCAAAGTTCATCAAATTTCAACCATTCCTCTCAAATAACCATAAAAAGAATCCAACTCAAACCCTACCAGTTCTCTCTCCAAGAAAGAAACGCGAGTTTCTTTTGTTCATCCCGACAATAAATCCCCGTCATTATCTTCAGCCACCAAAATACGCGCGTCTCCTCTTCAAATTCTAGCGCTCTCACTAATCTCAACCTAGCTCGACAATGTCTATAGCATCCTTTTTTATCATGATGCCACCAGCTACTGCATTGCTGCTCTAATTGTCCTCGACTTCGATCCAGGACTTGTTGGTTGTTTCTCATGGCTCTGTTGAAAGCGGCGAAAGAATTGTTGAGAAATGTGGAAAAACGTACAAAATCAGGACTACAGGAAAACCCTCGGGTCTATCGACCGATCGCATAGGACCGGTCGACCGATCTCGTGCAGATTACAGGGTCCGAAAACCCTGCTCTGGATGGTTGATAGATGCTTCTCTATCGGTCGACCTATGGAGGTAGACCGGTCGACTGATAAAGGAGCATCGGTCGACCGCAAGCGGATACGGGCTGAAGTTAGTTTCCTAGCCTGTTTTGGACTGGGTTTTGATATAAATAGAAACAATATTTCCTAGGGTTTAAGCGAGAGGTTTTACCAGAGATAATTGATTGTTTTGAGCACTTTGAGAGAGAGATTATTGTGAGGGATTGTGAGATCATTGGTTGGGTTATTTTGAGAGTTGTTTGAGAGATTGTAACCTGTTGTTTCTCCTTCATATAGTGAAATCTCCTCATCCTCTCCCCGTAAACGTAGGCAATTTGTCAAACTACGTAAATCTCTGTGTTTTATGATTTTGGCTGTTATTTTGCGAATTTCACTCGTGTTTGAGTCTTCTCTCTTGCTTGCTTACTCGTTTGGATTGTGAGCACGCTTCCACATGACGCGTAACAATTGGTATCAGAGCTCAGGTTTTCAGATCTAAGGTTTTGCATTGGGTGAAGGAAAATTCGTTGTTGGAAGCTTGGGTCTTGGAGATCTAGACTTCAGTGGAGATAGCTTTACGGAGTTGCCATTGGAGATCTCACTTTTTCTCGTGTGGTTAGGAGATCGTGTTGGAACCCTATCTAGGGTTTAGTTGGGTAATTTCTCAATTCTATCAAGTTCGAATATTTCTTTACAATTGAAGTTAGTTTGCAATGGGAGAAGAAGTTGGTGAAAGCAGCAAGACGATGATGAGTACAGTTCAGGTTGTACTTCAGAATACAAAGATTAGTCTTGTGAAGTACCATGGTAAAATCAACTTTGGTTTGTGGATGAGCAACGTACAGGATGCTTTGAATGCTCAAAATTTGAAAGAGACCATCATGGTCCATGAGAGGCCACCGAAATATGATGAGGCGATATGAGATAAGATGAATCAAAATGCTTGTGGGGTAATTAGATCTTCTTTGGAACAAGAGATGAAGTACGATGTGATTGGTGTGACATCCGCGATGAATATGTTAGAGATTCTCAATAACAAATATCTTACGAAGAGTGTTGAGAACCGTCTGCACTTGCTGCAAAGATTGTTCAGATTCTAGATGTCCAGGGGTACCTCACCTGTGGATCGTGTGAACAACTACATAAAAATGTTGTTGGACTTGGCGAACGTTGATGAGAAGATAACAGATGAGTACAATGTGACTATTTTGTTAGGCACCTTATCCGATGAGGAGTATGATACATTCGTGCTCACTTTGTTCAATGCTAGATCTTCCATCACATATAATGAAGTGACTAATGCGTTGATGAATTACGATCTGAGGAGGAAGGACAATGAGACTTCCAGAGCTAGCACTTCAAGAGAGACCTTTTCGATGAGAGGAAGGAGTCCCTATTCGAGAGGTGACAATAGAAGCAGGTCAAAGTCTAGAGGCCCCTATCAATTAGTAAAGAACCAGTGTGCTTTCTACAAAGAACAAGGACATTGGAAGAGAGATTGTCCGAAGCTTAGAGAGAATGAGAATAGCAAGAAGAAGGGCCCGAAGGCCAATGAGGTGAATGTCACTAGAGGTGATGATTCAGATGATTACTGCGTTTCTCTATTAATTACTCCAAAGGTGAACCCTGCGGATGCATCCGATTGGATGCTGGATTCTGATGCTACTTATCATGTGATTCCCCAGTGAGATTAGTTTGCATCTTTCGAGAAGATCGATGGAGACGTGGTAGTCATGGGAAAAGATTAGTCTTGTGGCATTTGTGGGATAGGTACTGTTAGGATTCAGATGCATGATGGAGTTGTTTGAGAACCGAATGCAGTGAGATTTGTTCCTTAACTGAAGAAGAATCTTATTTCTGTTAGAGTTTTAGAGGCAAAGAGATTCAAGGTGACTTTTGAGAGCGCTGTAGCAAAAATCACTAAGGAATCTTTAATAGTGATGAAGGGAGTCCGTAGTAGAAATATTTACTATCTGAAGGGAAGTACTGAGATTGGCTAGGTAGCTTTAGTAGTTACAGAGGTAGATACGAGCAGACTTTGGCACTATAGGTTGGGACACACAGGTAAAAAGTCATTGCAGGTGATGTGCAAGCAGAGGCTATTGAAAGGAGTCAAGAGTGAGAAGATTGAGTTCTATGAGCACTGTGCTCTTGACAAGAAGATAAAGGTGAAGTTCGTGATAAACATTCATAGGACAAAAGGTATCTTGGATTACGTGCACATAGATGTTTGGGGTCCTACCAAGACGACATCACTTGGTGGTCAACATTAGTTCGTCACGTTTGTAGATGACTATTCTAGGCATTGTTGTGTACACCGTGATGAAGAAGAGCAAAGTTCTAGATATATTTGTAGACGGTAAAAAATACCTCTGTGAGCTTGCAAGAAATTCACCTGAATGATCAACTCGCCTGCGTGAGCCAGAATCAACTGGGAATAGCAGAATTTCGCCTTTTACACAACTCGCCTGCCCGAGTCCAAAGTCGAAGCCGCCTGCAAACCTCAAGGCTGTCAGTACAGCCGGATATTTGCTGCCCCACGTGCTGAGATGGGTTTTCCCACCTCTCTCGACCCGAAGGGAGAGGGCACAGTACTCCAAGACCGTCAAACGGTCGCTCACAGTACGAAGGACTGGGTAGGTGTCGAGTCGACCTGAACATTCATAAATGCAACTCACCTCGGCTGTCTGAGTCAAGAGACGGATCCGCCAGCATTCGGCAAACTGTCCAAACCCACTCGAGTTCCAGGAACCTGCTTCCCCGCCTCTCTCGACCTGAAGA